CTCTCTCACACACACACACACACACACACACAGTGTCTGCTGCCTGAGAACTTGTGAGGCTGAATTTAAAGAAGCATAAGGGGTATTTGCTAAAGAGGTTGGTAACATTATAAAGAAGCCAAGGGCATTATCCCAGGACAACCTGAAAGATGCTTTGAGGGCATCTCAGGGATCTACGAGAGCCTATATCAGAGTGTCAGGTGTACACATGAACCAGAGCTTAGGTGCCTGTGAGACATGTCCACTAGGTACTGGTGACCTGTCAAGTGTGATAAGGGCTTGGGTTTGCTGTTTGTTAGGTGAGGTCCCTGTGACAGAGCACATCTTGTTGCTGGCCTATGTCAGTAGGGCCTGCCTCTCACATGGAATATCTACACTCCTCTTTTCTAATACACATGCCCCTCCTGCCCAAGAGCTGACTTGTTCACTGAAAGACAGAACAGAGGGGTGACCTTGTTCAAAAATGGAACATTTCTAAATTTCTAAAACATTTCTAAAAAAATGGAAATGTCATAATTGGGAGAGTGAACATCTTGTATGATACAATTAAGGCACATAGCAGGATGGGCCAGTGGCTTTTTATCAACTGTGGGATCCAAGCCATGCCACCTGCACGGGGATTCATCAGGTTGCCATGCTTATCTTCATGGAAATGGGATAAGCTGATGTCACCTCGTGTTCTCACCGGTCCTTCTGAAAATGCTGCTGGTTCTAGAAGGCCCCGAAGTCCACACCCAGGTTCTGCATTTTTCTCCCTTTGGGTGCCTTAGAGCTTGTTCCTTTCAAGGATACTTTCAATGACTTGGTGGTGTTGGGGGTGAAGTCACTTTTCTTGGGGCTGTTGAGCACCACACGGCCAATTTTCCCGTGAAAGGAAAATGCAGGCAAACCTCCATGATCACCTTTCACAGACATCATTTTTATTCCCGGATTCATGACAAACACATCAAGAAGCCTTATGTATGTCTGCTACTAAGAGTGAGGCAGGGGAGTGTCGGGAGAAGAAGGGTCTGAAGTGACCCAGGTAGACAGAAGGGTTCTGTTTTCATTGGCTCTGCACAGGTTTTCAGGTCCTGTCCCCTGAACACCTTTAAGAGGTAGAGTCTTTGCAGAATTCCTGCCGCCCAGGATTCCATCATTTGCTCCTTTCCTCCCGGCTGGACTCAGGTCTCTGACAGACAGAGAACATGACAGGCTTTCTACATGACTCCATTCTGCAGGTCTCTGTCTGTAAGTGGGGACTCTCCAATGCCATGGCATTCTGCATCCTCCAGAGAACTCTTAAAATGCAATAACACATGCACATGAAAGGGACTCTTGTGACTTCAGCTATACGGGGCATCTTTCCAACTATGATCACCCTGCTCTGCACTGCCCTCCGAGCTGCTTCCTTCCTCCTGTCTAAACCTTTGCTCCCAGTCACCTCTTTCCCTCCCCCCACCATCTCCTCCCTTACACTCCCTCCTTTTCCTTCTCCCACGCCCTTAATATGGTCACCACCCTTCTGCTGTTTACTTCTACCCCAACTTCTTTAGATTTCCCATGTGCAGGATATAGTGAGACTTGTCTTCTAGGATGCTAGATATGTTGACAGGTTCTATTTAGCCATCCCATGGTATCTAGATCTAGCTTCCCAATGCATTGTACCCTATAAATACACATAATTATGATCTGTCCACTGACATGAGTAAAATTGATACATTCAAATACAGAAATGTACCTCTGGGCCATGCCTGCTGCTTGTTCTATAGACTCCCTCCTTGTGCCTCATTTCTGAGGGGAGACTCTGTTCTGACCTCGGCCAGGTTTCTTCTCAGATGGAAAGCAGCAACACAGTCTCCTTAGGGCCTTTCCTATTCTCCTTGACCATCCCTTCAAGCCTCTGTACTGGCCCCGGCTGTGGACAGACTTGCCCTCTGCTGTGGCTTTGTGTGAGCATAAGTTGTGTTCTGTGTTCTCACCACTGCTGCTCACTGAATAAACGCTGGGAGCACTCCTGGCACGTTGATGGGCTGGGTCCAGTGTGGATGTCCTCTGGAGTAGCCCAGTGGCATGCCTGCCTCCCCTTTGACCTGTCTGAGGACAATTAGTGGATGGTCCTCTGAGTAATGTGCTAAGGGCCGGCTCACTTGCCCTCCTCCTTAGTTCTTGAGGGAAAGCAGCAGGATCTTCAAGGGAAGGGAATGGTGTCACCCCTGGATTTATGGGCTGAGCCTGGGTTGTACAGCCATGTTCCTGGAGAGCCTGCCCATGAAGTAAGAGATAGGATGCCATGGTTTGATTGAATTTCCTCTGATGTAATGAATCCTTGATATCCTGGGCTTGGAACCCCATACATTCCATGGCTTTCACAATTGCAGGGTCAGGCAAGCTGGGGATCATTTTATCACAGTGATTTGGTAAAGCCTCCATGTCTTCCCTGAGCCAGGGGTGCTTTATCACTTCATCAATTGTTGGCCTAAGCTTGGGATTGACTGTCATCAACAGGCTAAGCAGGTCCTGGAGTTCTTCTGACAGGCCTGAGGGGACAGTATACTTCCCTGCCACAATCTTCCTTTGTAGCTCTGTTATGGTGTGACCATTAAATGGGACATTCCCAACTACCATGAAATATAAAATGACTCCCAAGGTCCATATGTCAACTTTGGGGCCATCATAAAGTCTGCCAAGGAGGATTTCAGGTGCACCAAAGGCATAGGTTCCACAGTGAAAGCTAAGCTTTTGTCCTGGCTTGACTTGGGTGCCGAGGCCAAAGTCTATGATTTTGACATTTCCATTGTCATCCACCATGATGTTGTCTGGTTTCAGGTCCCGATGAATTATTCCATGCTCATGGCAGTAATTCACAGCACTTATTATTTGCTTGAATATCCTCCGGGCCTCATCCTCCGACAGGTAGCCAGCCTTTCGGGTGTATTTATAAAGCTGTTGTCCCTCAGCCAGCTCCATGATGAGGTATATTCTCTTCTCAGTCTCAATCACTTGGAGAAGTGAGATGATGTTAGGGTGGTCGATCATCATCATGATATCTACCTCAGACATGATTGGGAAGCTCCACATCTTTCTTTTCCGAAGCACTTTGAGAGCCACTGGGGTGCCTGTGAGGCGGTGGTATGCCAGTTTTACTTCGGCATAGCCTCCACGGCCAATGGTCTTCAAGACCTTGTACTGAGCGAGGAAGCCCTCTCTGTCAGAGGAACTGGACTCAACTCCAAGCTCTGGTACTTCGTCTTCACTATAAGAGTCCCTTTTAGATGACATAGTATAAATGCCACCTAAGAGAGAGAAAAAGAGGAAATAAAGGAAAGGAAGGAGAAATTGAAAATAATTGAAAGAAAATAGAAAAAAATAAAAAAACTAACAACAAAACCCCAGAAAACCAGAACCACATACATACAAAGCCAAGAAAACCTATTTAAAAAAAAAAAAAAAAAACTAGCTGCAAGTCACTAAGAAGATACAAAGAAATACAAACCAAACTCCAAACAAGCAAAACTACATAAAACTAAAAACTTAGAAATCTAAACTTCTAGAATATGCAAATAAACAAAATAATGGTAATAATAAAAATACTAAGAAACACTAAGAAATCAAGCAACCCAGTGAATAACTGGGATAGGGAACTGAAAAGGGATTTCTCAGAAAACACACAAATGGCTTAAGAAATACATACATATATATGTATATGTATATATACATATATATGCATGTGTGTATGTATATATATGTATATATATTTAAATTTATATATTTGGTTTTTCAAGACAGTGTTTCTCTGTGTAGCTTTTGGAAGTTGTCCTGGATCTTGATCTGTAGACCAGGCTGGCCTGGAACTCACAGAGATCCACTTGCATCTGCTTCCCAAGTGCTGGGATTAAAGGCTGTGCCACCACTGCCTAACACTGTGTGTGTGTGTGTGTGTGTGTGTGTATTGTGTGTGCATGTATTCGCCATTCTTGGCCATGAGGAAAATACAAATTAAAAGTACTTTGAGATTTTTTACTTGCTCTAATCCGAATGGCTCAGACTTACAAAAGGCAACCAATGCTGGTGTGGGGATGGGGGTTGGGAACCCTTGTGCACTGTTGATGGGAGTGCAAACTGGTGCAGCCACTGTAGAAACCAGAAAACTAGAAGCAGGTCTACCATGTGATCCACTGACACCACTCCTGTGTGTATACTCACGGAGCTCTATTTCCACTGCAGAGACACTTACTCACCCATGTTTAGTGCTGCTCTATTCACAATAGTAAGAGGCCTAGATGTCCATCAACTGACGAAGGGCTTACAAAAATGTGTTATCTATCCATGATGGGATTTTATTTATCTACAAAGAAATTTCTAAGTACACAGATGGAAACTGGGAAACATTGCACTGAGTGAGGTGACCTAGACCTGGAAAGACAAGCATGGCATATTCTCCTGTTCTCATTTATGTGGATCCTTGCATCAGATCTTTAGATTTATTCGTGCAACTCTCAGAACTCACCACAGAAATTTATCTGTGCGGTAGTTAACATAGATGGGATGTCTACATCATACTCTTCCTCTCTCTATGGCTCAGGGACCATCATGGAAAAGAGGAAAGAAAGATTGTAGGGACCAGAGCAAAATATTATCTTCTTGACATGAATTCACTGCAGCCGTGGCTGCCTGCAGAAGACCTTCCCAGAATCATGCAGTCAATAGTCCAGCATGATTACCTCATAGGAGGAGCTACTGGCAGTTGATGGCTTTTGGGCAGGGAGGGTCATTTCTCCTCAAGAATGTGGCTCCTGGTAAGTCAACCACACTCCAGTTGATGCCCCCCCCCATGAACATATGAGCACAAACTGGGAAAGAGAGGAAGTTGAGAGTTGGGGAAGTGGAGGTAGGGGATGGGTCCAGGAGGGGCTGGGGGAAGGGTGGGGAGTGAATATGATCAAAATGAATTCTATGGATGTATGAAATTCTCAAAATATAGTATATTTTTTAAAAAACCCACAAATAATCAAAAGCTTAGAACTCCAAACAAAGTAAAAATACAATAAATAAGAAAATCTAGAAAAGCAAAACAATCAAAACAAAAGGTGACACAAAATCCCCCCAAATGTAATAATAAAAACACAAAGGAAAATTCCAAACAAGCAAACAAAAACATTAACAAACCCTGAAAAACCAAAACCAGCCAAACCAAGAAGCCAGAAAACCCAAAACATCAAAATTAAAACTCAACCACCCAGCAATGGTGACACGGGCCTTTAGTCCCAGCACTCCAGAGGCAGAGGCAGGCAGTTCTCCATAAGTTCCAGGCCAGCCTGATCTATAGAGTGAGTTCCAGGACAGCCAGAGCTACACAGAGAAACCCTTTCTCTCCAGAAAAAATCTAAACCCAAACCAAACCACTTCAGATAGCCACAGGCTGTGGGGATAGTCCAGTAGTTAAATTACTGCCCATGCAAAACAGTAGGGCCTAATTCTATCTCTAGAAACACCATGTAAAATATGTAAGCTGAGTGCATTTAATCTCGGTTTCTGGGGTTGGCACAGCAGATCCCTAAGAGTCAATGGCTAGCTAGCTTCACCACTTGGCCAGTGCCAGTACAGTGAGAGAGCCTGTCTCAGAAAGCAAGGTAGATGGCTTACCTTAGAAACAGTGACTAAGTTGACGAAACACTTTTCTACACACAGGTGTTCCCACAACTACCCACACATGCACCTAAAGGACACGCACACGCAAGCGCACGCACACACACACACACACACACACACACACACACACACACAGGTGCACTCACTCTCACCCACAGGTATACCTACTCACACACAAAAACACACAGGTGCACACACACACAAATAGATACTTGCACACAAGCGAACTTAAACACAAAAACACATATACACACAAGCCACACACACACAAACCAAACAATCAAATGCAAAATTCACACACAACCTCACTAGACACAATAAAGTCGCACAGGGCACCACTCCACAGCTCCTCTCAACACACCCAAAGAAATCCAGGCCTGGCCACAGCATAACATCTGCTGGCTGAACTCCTCACAATGGTTCCTTGTGAGGTCACAGCAAGACCTGTCCTGACATGGCTGAGCAGGATGCAAAGGTCAAGTGGGCTATGGAGACTGGCTTTTAAGTTTTAGAAACCAAAGCCTGAAGGATGCTGTGATATTCTCAGGTCTCTGGTTTGAGTGTCTGCTGTGCTTTACCGTCCTCATGTCTGCCCTCGCCATGGCACCCTTTGTTTGAATTCTGTCTGATGGGCCCAAGATGATACTATAGCTTAATTTATATAAAAGGTTCTGTTCATGAAATATAATAAAGCAATTTATTACCCCTGTGAGGCTGACAAGAAGATACTTTTCTCATATCTTCCAAGGTCACTGGATTCTCATGAAATACTTGGTAGGGGCCCTTGAAGATAGGTGAGTGGTTAGAATACTTGCCTTATAGAGTGTGAAGACCTCAGTGTGAAGCCCCAGAATCCATGGAAAGGCTGGACACAGCAGCACAAACCTGTAATATCAGAACTTTCTGGAAGCAGGAAAGGCATCGGAGACAGGCTAACCAGGTAATGAGGTATATGTGGTATCAAATCCTGTACCCTGTTTCAAACAAGGTAGAAGGTAAGGACTGACAAAATGTCTTCTAACTTCCACACACAGTAGGACATATGCATGCCCACATACATACAAGCATGTTACACACACACACACACACACACACACACACACACACACACACAGAGAGAGAGAGAGAGAGAGAGAGAGAGAGAGATATGTCAGAAGAAGATGGGTTAATAATGCAGTATTAAATGAAAAAAGCACACTTAATGAACTACAATTCTCTAGCAAACATTCCTTCAGAAATGGAGAAGAAATCAAGAAACTCCCAGAGATGAAAACTGAGTTAAGGGGTTTCAGGAAAGACCGAAGGGCACGACACAGAAGAAGAGCACTTCTCGAGACTTACTTATCTCTGTACAGAGGTGATGGCTTCCAGAAGCATGTTCTAACTTGAACCCAAACTGGCTCTTCCCTATATGGGAACAGATAAGGAGACAAGCTTGGCTTTAATCTCTCTGGCAGTACATATTAGGTGTCATAATGGACCATGCCACTTCTAGCACTCTTGTCTGCAGGGCTGGAGAGGGCTGAGCCATGGCTGTGGACACCACACTTAATGGAAATCCATTCTTGCTTCTCACTCCATTCTGTGGACCATATATTGATCTTCATTTGGGATGCCTGGGTCATAAAATATTCACAAGGTTCCTAAATGTTCCTAAAAAATGACTATTTTTTTTTTTTACAGGGCTTGGGGCATGCTCTATTGTTTTAAATGCTCATAAAGACATCCCGGTTTTGTTCGTGTTAGTTCTAGCTGTGGTTTTGATGGCAAAGCACAGCTGAGTGAACTGGCCACCACTGTAGCATTCCCACAGGGAGACACCACTGCATTCTCCAAAGGGCACGCCAGTGACTTCATTAGCCTGCAGGAAAGCCAAGCTGGCTGGGTGGAAACGGCTGGTATTCTCTCTTCTGACATCTGGAAGCCAAGATGGAATAGAATATGGAGAAGTTCTCAAAGGGCCTCAGACTCTGTTGTCTTAAAGTAAGGGAGCTCTGGTCCCCAGAAAACAAGGACACAGTGGCAAACAAATTTGTTCACAGTGGTGAACAAATACTGAGGAGCCAGAGCAAATGTGATCAATTATGTTTCAAGAAGAGCCCAGTGAGTGGCCCTTTGCCTCTTGGCCTGAGAACAGCCTTTCCCAGCTCCTCCTTCTTCACAGCAAATGTGCTCATAGCATGACCTTGCTCAGCCCAGGGAGGGCTCTGGCAGAAATGCAGCCTTTGATCTATTCGTCACAAAAACATCAGACAAAGGTAAATCAGTTGTTTGAGACTGCCTGAAAAACAGCTTCCAGGATAGCTTCCTCCTCCCAAAGCTCCCTTAGCACAAACCAGACAGAAGGCACCACCTTCCAGGGCAGAGGCAACATCTGTGGTCTACAGGAGGCCACTGATCTGAGCTCTTTTCTCTTGGGTTTGGTGCAGTGTGCATCACTCCATCTAAGGTCCAGGCACAGCCCTGAAACAAGCTGGCTAACAGCACAGGGGAGCATGGGAAAACCCTGGCTAGCCTGTGTTATGCTGAAGCCCCACATCCTTCAGCCAAGGCTAGCAGGTAGAGGTATCCATGCACAGGTGTTAAGAGTTGTAGTAATGTTCTGGGAGAGTACGCACTTCCAGCAGTGG